CGGAAAGCAACAAAACGCTTCAGTGTAGAATTTTCCAGGCATTTTGGTTTGTGCATCTGTAGACAGCAATGAAGAAAAAGACAACTCAAAACAAAACCAAATAAGAAGGATCCGCGTGGAAAGATGGGGCGTTTGCTCTCCCAGCGGTCAATCTGAAGTCCAGACGATGGATTGGCAAGTTGTTTTTTTGTTGGCGTGATCGTTGGCAACATGTAATGATTGCTGATGAGTCTCTCTTTCTAAGCAATAAAATGTTCCATTGAGAGTATTGGTATCTTGAGTACAATAACATATCTTCTTTATAATAGCAACATAATACATTTCTTCTCTCAGGACTATATAACAAACAAAATCTGTATAGAATTCTTTAAGTCCACTCTTGGTATAGTATGTGTTTCCATTTTACATTAAACTGGCTTCTTTCTCGAGTGAAATATTTCCTAAACCTTCTGAAAGTCTTGTTTTTTTTTTCTCTTTTTTTTTCCTTTTTTTGGTGACAAGGATCCTTCATCGCAAAATATCCTTCATAGTCTTTGTGCCAAATACGAGATGGCGGATATCAAAAACATCAGAGCAAAAACAAAAAAAGAAAATCAAGACAATTGAAAAAAATACATATACAACATATACCATACAATATTCCAAGAGTCTTATTATAGTTTGAACAATACATATATTAAAGCCAGTTTTCGCAGATAAAGTCTTGTCCGTTCTTTTAAAGGCGCACGAATCCGACAGAATCTACGATGAGTGTAAGTGTCACATTCGACAGCTGCTCTATTCTGCTCTCTGCAGTAACATCAGGTGCCAAGCTAGTGGGACTACAGAGAAAGACGAAAACCACAAATAGAGGCATATAGCAACACCGTATCTTTTTTTTCTTTCTTTTTTTTGACTTTTTTTAAAACTTTTTTAAGTTCAACTGTTTTACAATAGCAGCGTTTCTAAAGGTTTTGACTTTTTCCTTTAATGGCTACTCAAAAGTGCAGTAACTGAGGTCATTAATACAAATACTGATTACCGGTACATAAAATCAGAGTTTTTTTCTGATCTTTTGTCTTTTTTTTAGAAATTGAAAGGAAGGAAAATGCACATTTGTGACGAAAAGCACGTCGAAAATAAATTCAACCTCTCGTGATAAGCCTCTCTGACATATGACATATGTACAGTGACATTCACTTCACTCTGCTCAACGTTTGCTACACCCGATTTTGAGAAAATCTTCACTGGTGGTGGTATATTGTGGTTCGGATTCGATTGCGGGAAAAACAGTACAGTCCCTTAGTAAAGGGATCTTAATTGCCAGACAATGATTTCTTTAAAACTGGAGGGACAGATTAGGCTATTTAGCATAGCTTCCTGCTCTGTCTAATGGCATCAAGTCAATGGATCTGGTCAAATTTTGGCCACTTGTTAAAGTCTTGCTACCAAGTACAACTAAAAATCCTGTGAGTAGTGCGAGAGGACAGGGGTCAACAGCTGTAGTAAAATAGGCTAGAGTTATACTAGTTGAACCATCAATGCTAATTTTAGAGAATGTGTGTATATAGAATTTCTAGTATGACTATGAGTCTAGAGCAGGGGTGGCCAAACTTTTGTCTCAAGGGGTCAAGGTTGTCGTGGTTTCCAACCCACTCAAGGCCTTCCAGATAGTCCACTTTTTTCCGTCATCCCTGTGTGTTGGGAGTTGGATTGGAGTAGAAATGTGGATCATTTGGGGGCCCTGGCAACTGGATTGGGAACAACTGCTGTATGCATATAAAGAAACTGAGGGCTTTAAGAAGTGTGGGTTGTTGAGTGCAAAGGCTTGTTAGCAACTCATTAGCCAAACTGTTAGATTACACTGTATGTTTTGTTCTTTAAAATTACTTCAAATATAAAATTATAAAAGAATTTTAGGTGGGCCATATCAAAAGTCCTTGCAGACCAAAGTATGGGCAACGTTGGGCAGCCCTTACTTAGAGGTATATAAGTGCCAATATCAGTAAGTCAATAAAGGGAAGCAAAATGCACTGCCAGTCAAACTAACCTATTGGTAAAATCTTTATCTTTCTGAAATCTGCTAAATTTTGAGTTTTTATTTGTAAAAGAAGGAGGTAAAGTAGAAAAATTAAACTACAGTTAATGGCTAAAGCAATTCCATGACAGGCAAAGACTCCAAATGCAATTACACCTAATCTCTCCCTTGAGCTAGTTTATAAACTTGGCACAAGTACAGTAATACACTCTGGGCAAAATGTAATTCTTTCACTTTAGCAATTATAGCAATATTTGATGGCTACTCCTTCATGCTAATATATGTGTAATAACTTTAGCATCAAGTAAGTTATCATTTGAATCTCTACAGTTCCTTTTGAACATTTCAAGAGATCCAACACAGAGACTGAAATGACCACTTAGGTCTGAATGTAGACTAAGAGTCTTCACTACTTTCCCATCAAAGGAGAGAGAACTGGACACTATTTTGGCCTTGTACAAGCTCTTAGATGAGTGGGGGCTGAAGGGTGCATGGTAACCTGTTCTGTACATTCAAGAAGTATTCGTGTCATAACCTACATTCTTGAGGTCATCGATGTATTCTTGAAGAATCACTATATTGGCTTAATTTGAGGACGATCAGAAAACTCTGACCCTATGCTGTAGTATGAGCTAGCGTAAGTAAGCGTAAGTTGAGACATGGCATGAGGAGGTAAATGTTAAGGCAGACTGCACTCCATCTGAAATCACTGGCTTACTGTCTGCAGATTCAGATGGCAAAGTAGCAGCAAGAGTAGCAGCAACATTAACAGCAGCCATGCTAACACTGTTAGCACAGTAAGCAAGTTAACCATTGTGTTGTTTTTAATCAGAACCACTGCCCTCTCTTACCAGAATTGTCAATGAATGAATAAGAAAATTTACATTTACAGGACAAAAAGTGCCAAAGGGGTTCTTTGGACCAACACCATAGAACTGTGGTCTTCAAATCTGGACCTCATATACAGTTTCCAGTCCTGGATTTTGTAATACCTGGAAGGTATGACGCTAGGTAGCCAATCAGTTACATCACCAGTTCAGTTATCATCCACTGATTAGAAAATGCTGGACCAGAAACTGGATTCAAGTCTTCAATTTAAAGATCCCTGACCAAAAAGAACAACTTTTGGTTGACTAAAGCTGCGGTTCTCAAACTGTCCCTCAGGGACCCCCAAGCAGTCTTAATTTTTGTTCAATCTCAAATCCCAACACATAAGCAAGAATGTGGACCATCTGGGTGTCCTTGAGGACTGGTTCTAAAACCACTACTTTAGTCAACCAAAGGTTGTTATTATATTTTTAAAGGACTTTGAATCAAGTTTCCAGTCCAGTGGACTGTCTTGGGGTCTCTAAAGCCTGGCTTGAGAACCATTAGCCTAAAGAACAATTCATGTGAGAGAACTATTTATTGAAAGGTTCTTTGTGGAAGTGGTTCTCTGGAGCAATGCCATAGAACTACCACTTCTTGTCCCCTAAAGTACCTCTCAGTTGAGCAGCTTAATTTTTTTTTTTTCACTGAAGCGTTCACTGAAAGGTTCTTTAGGGAACCAAATGTGGTTTGCCATAGAAGAACAGCTTCTGGTTCCCTAAAGAGTGGCTTTGATTGTTTCTTCAAGAACCATCCATTGAAAGGTTAAATGTTGAGCCAAAGGTGTTTCTTTGGAGCAATACCATAAAATAACTTCTTTCTGGCTCTCTAAAGAACCTTTCAACTGAGTGGCTTCCATTGTTTCTCCAAGAACCATCCATTGAAATATTCTTTGTGAAACCCAAGGTGTTTCTTAGGAGCAATACCATAGAAGAACCCCTTTCTGGTTCCCTAAAGAACCTTTCAATTGAGTGGCTTCAGGAGTTTTTTCAAGAAACATCCACTGTAATGTTCTTTGGGGAACCAAAGCAGTTTTATTTGATCAATGTCATAGAAGAACCCCTTCTGGTTCCCTAAAGAACCTTTCAGTGGAGTGGCTTTGATTGTTTCCTCAAGAACCATCCATTGAAATGTTGATTGTGGAGCCCAAGGTGTTTCTTAGGATCAATACCACAGAGGAACCCCTTTCTGGCTCCCTAAAGAACCTTTCAATTGAGTGGCTTCAGGAGTTTCTTCAAGAAACATCCACTGTAATGTTCTTTAGGGAACCAAAGCTGTTTTATTTGATCAATACCACAGAAGAATCCCATCTGGCTCCTTAAAGAACTTTTGAATTAATTTTTTAAGAACTATCCACTGAAAGTTTCTTAGAGAACCAAAAGTGGTTATTCTATGGTTTCCCTCCAGAAAACCCTTATTGGGACATTATTATTAAGGGTATATTCCATACGTTTCTGGGAAAATGAAGTAGCAGGCCAATGTTTAACTGTTTAGGTGTTGATGGCTTGGCTGTTCAGGTAGCAACTAAATCCCCCCCCTCTTTGACCTTTTTTGAACACATAAGATTATGTTAGAATCAAATGAATGAACTCTGAAACCACCTCTCAAAACTGCTTGTATGTTAAGCAACCACTACAGCTCAACTGCATTCTCCTGCATCCTGCCATTTTTCAGGGACACGGGACGCATTCCCAGCATAAGCAGACAGAGGGCACACGCCCTTTACTCTCACTGGGACATCCAGCCCCCCTTACCAACCCACAAGCCTGTACAGAGAAACTTATAAACTTTCAAACAAATTAAAACCCTCATCTGTCTTTTGGCATATTTTTCCTTTCACTTTTAGTACAAACTGTTCTGTCCTCACATGTTTTCCTTTGTTTTGTTCCCTCTTTTTTGGTGCATGTGCATGTGTTTGTGAATTGCTGCAGTTTTTTTTTTTCTTTTTTTTACTTTACTTTGGTCTTAAAAAAGACTTTACATTTCAATAAAATGAACATTGAAAGCTGGCACAGAAAGGCATGCTTGTTTCTTCTTTTTTTTCTATGGGTGACGAGAGAGATCATTCCTTCAACAAATGGGTCGACGCTTGTACCCACGTTGTTGGTCCTATGTATACATTTTTTTTTCCTTCCTGTAGAGGTGGAGATGAGACACCTTCCAAAAAGTGACAGAGGACTGCAGGCAGACGTTGACGTTGGACGAGTGCGATGGCTGGGACAGAAGAGGTACACTTGTGAAGCAGCATATCTGAAACAATGTCTTGCTCTCTACCCCAGTCTGTAGCTGGGTTCGCTGCAGCCTCGCTCTCAGCCCAGGGAGTACACGCTCTCCCCTTTTCTGTTCTCGGGGGCGTTGGGGTCCCGGCAGGCACACTCGCTATGCACGTCGCAGGATGACGGAAACAGGATCACCTGGACAGGAGGAGAAATGAAATATGTCTCATTTTGGTTCATTCTGCTTCCTGCTTCAGGGTTGCATAGCCCCTGTGCAAGTGGCAACAGTCATCTTGAAGTAAATTAGCATTTGATAATTCAATAGCATAGTGCATAAAACATAGCATAAACCTACTTATAGCAATATATACCTACAGTAACACAAAATTAGTTCGTAATTTGACATGGTGTGTTCAAACTTTTGCATTTAGATTTCCTAAGTGAAATATATTAACATACTTTTCTACAGGTAAAAAATATGGCATTTTTTCTGCAAATTTTAGTGCAAAATTGTTATTTATTGGCTGACTTTAACATTTTGAAATAAAAAATGAAACATAAAAAATAAAATGAGCCATTGCACTTGCACAGGCCATTTTTTTTGTTTGTTTTAATGATGTTAACTACACAAAAATGTAACTGTGTATTAAAATGTGCAGAAGGACACATTGTGTTCTCTGTAGATGTTGTGTTTACATGTAATTTGACCAGATACCCAAACTTTTTCAAATGACCATATGTGCAAAAATGCTACATTTGCCGGAGACAGAAAAACATTTTTAACTTATAATGAAAGTTAATGGAAAAGATTTGTACTGGCCCATTTATTTTCAAAAATCTTCACACAATGTAAAGGCCAGCTAGCATTTTTAAATGATGTAAAAAGCCCAAAAATAGAGATGTTTTGTCCCGACAACAACAGTTTGTAACTTTTATCTGGAAAAGATGGCAACCACTTGGTGAGCTAGTTAATATTAGCCAAAGTTAGACACACAGTTGCCACGATATTAACCTTGACAAGTCATGTAACTACGCCACAGTAGCTAGGCTACAGAAGTTACTACAGAAGTTACTTGTTTATTTTAACCTCGCTTCTGTTTTCCATTACAGTCTGTAGGACATTTTTTAAAGCCACAAAAAAGGACTAATGGTGAGAAAGATATTCAGCAAAGTGTAAGATTATGCTATACTTGGAAAGCCTTTGCCTGGGTGGTAGGGTAACCTACTCAGCATTAGCATTGACTTATTCCAGTTGCCTTCACACATATACATAATTAGGTAACATGACAAATAAAATAGCTGACTGTTGTTTGGTATTTAGATATCTTACTATTGGAATGTCCACTTCTTATAATGTGGCACTGCAGAAGGAGAATCATGAATGTAGTTATAATTCTATGTTAAGAACCCAGAACTAACTGGTCAACCACATTATAAGATATTCGCTCTGCAACAGATGAAAGTGATTTTATTCCTTTGTTGTAAGTCCTATGAAAACAGTTCATTTCTAGTTTTTATTATCTGTTCCACCATTTCTAATCGCTGGTTACGACACCATTGCCCTGTACTGGTGAAACCGCTGTGATTGCTCAATCACAAGGAAGCCCCGGATCGTTTGGGCTGGGATTGCAAAGCGGCTGCTGGCCAGCCGTCACCGGCAACAGCTGCCTGGCACGGGGAAGGCGCTGGAAGTGTCAACTGCTTGAAAAATTGATGAGCCCCTCGGATGGGATTGAAAATAGACTTTGAATGTCGTTTTGCCCACGCCCAGTGGCACTTGACGTCACAGTTTAACGTTGGCAGTGCGTCACTGACACCAGCTGCTGCGATGTCGCCTCCCCAGGGGGAAGGCCTCAGCTGCTTTTTGACATCAACTGCATCTCCAGTCGCTCAAAACTAGGACCACATGTGCCCCTCACACTAGCACATTCATAACACAGTTGTGGCTGCAGCCTAAGTGCTCGAACAGCCTGTCTTAATCATGAAGAGCAAGAGTATTTACGCTCAGACAACCAAAGCCACGGGCAAAACAAGTTCTAACAACATAACAGTGTTCATTTATGCATCATCACTGCATACAAATGTATTAGAAATACCTAGAATCTTGTATATATGTAACACTTTCCTCGTCCCCATGCTCACTGGCCATTTTATCTGGCACATCTACCATATAGGTGATGTTACTGACTATGGCCTGTCTGTTGTTACAGATACATTGTCAGCCATCCTTTCCAGTAGCCTGTCCATCAATGAAAATGGACCACAATAGGACCACCACTGAGCAGATACTAGTTGGGTAGTGGACCGTTCTCAACACAGATACGAATGTCTATGTGTGTTGCACTAGAGTAAGGCAACTTCTGACCTAATAAACTGGCAACTCAGTCTACGTCAACTTTGCCTAAGACATGGCAAGGGAACAGCTATATCCAGCAAGATAAATAGAAGCTAAGGCATTAGTCAAATAATGCTGAATGAAGTTCACTGGAATTATTAAGAGATGTAATTGGGAAATCTGAGTCCAAGCCAAACTCAGATGTTTCTGGACAGTCTCATAAAAGCTAGTTCTGAATCAGTTCTCGAAAGCAGGAGTGATATGGACAGAGTTTTGGAAAGGGAAAGTTAGTCCAGGAGGAGTGATGTTTATCACCACGCAACAGAGGAGAAACATGTTTCAGTGAGGGATCGCCCTTTACGTGTACTTCCCAGAACCTCCTTACTTGCGAAACCTTTACGAGCAAAGAGCTGCAGACGTATCAAAGCCAGCTGCCAATCGTCTGAGTGGCATTTCCTCTGTCTAAGTGGAGCCTTCTCTCTCTTTACATAACCCAAAACTACTCATTCCTCTGTAGTCTGCTTTTATCAGCTTCTTGATCCACTTTTCTATTTTCGGATCCTACGTAGACAGTTATGAATAGACTTGATGCTCAGTCCTTAGTCCAGTAATGAAGGTATGATAATATGCATGTGTGCAAGCCATCTCTTCAATCCTGCCAATTCTTTTTTAACTGGACTGTAGGCTAACCAAGTACTGTGAACCTGACCATACCCCAACAAAATTCTGTCTGAACACAACTGCACCCTGACAGTCTTTGGTGAACCTCATGGTACCACAACAAAATAACAGCTGAACTTAATTGTGACCTGACAAATTTTGTCTGAATCCCCAAAATTCTATCTGAACCTGACCACAGCACGACATAACTCTTTAAACCTGACTTTAGACTGACATAATTGTCTGAACCCAACAGTAGACCAACAAAATTCTATCTGAACCTGACCACAGCATGACATAATTCTTTAAACCTGACTATAGACTGACATAATTGTCTGAGCCCAACAGTAGACCAACAAAATTCTGTTTGAAGCTGGCTGTAGCCCGCAAAACTATCTAAATTTGACCGCAGCCCAATGAAATGCATCAAACCTGACTGTACTCTGACAAAATTCTGTATGAACTTGACAGCTGATGAACAAAATCCTGTGTAAATTTGCCTGTAGACCAAAAAAAGTCTGTCCAAACTTCTGTCCAAACTGACAAAATTGTCCAAACCTGATTGCAGCCCTGTATAATTCTGTCTGTAGCTTGAAAACATTAATTCCCAATTTAACCCATCACTAACAACTGACAAAAAATGAATATAGTAATTAATAGCTATCTAAAATTAAGTTGCAATTCCACCGTAATCTATTCATAAATCAATTGCTTTGAACAACATTTCAAACAAATTTAGTCTAGATAAACTTTTCATAAGTTCTCAGAAGTTCTCATCCTGGCCTTGTGGACGATGGTGAACCTTGCTGCCAGAACACAAGAGACTCCAGTGCACCAGATTAAAAATTGTTTAAATTAACAAAAGAAGGGATGAAGAATAATGTGGGGAAGGATTCTAAAGCAGGGGATAAATGCAGGTCAAAAATCTGTAAAATGTCAGACGTAAAGTATGAGAAATGTGAAGTATGTTCCTGACCCAGAACCGACAAATATTTGAGAAATGTCCAAATCCGACCAAATTCTAATGTGAACAGTCAGGTCCCATCAAATTCGGATAAACATTTCAGTCTCTACTGTCTATCTGCATTTGGTTTCCCTCACCGAAGCTTCACCCTTCTCTCACAGTTCTTGCTGAACTCCTTCAAACTCTGCTTCTTTATCTCCTCATCACCCTGCGATGGTGGGTGGCAAATTTGACATGGTTTCCTCTGACCTTGACCTTAGGGTGGCGGGCCAGCTGCCACATCTGGCCCTGATCGGGGGGGAACCCGGAGGGGGGCCTGGAAATGTCTGCATAGAGCTGAGGCCATTCTCGAACACACACATCCACACGCATACACAAACCAGTTCTTTGACAGGCTGTGTACGTCCACAACCCACTACACACACCTCCCAGGAGTGGCAGGCTTACGCATCTACGTGTCAGTGTGCAGTTAAAGTTAAAGGGGAGTGGAGTCAGGGGGCTGGAGACAGGGGGACACACGGAGAGTTCCAGAACCTGGGGCTACACTGGATATACAAGGCTGTTCCCTCAATAAACCATGGTCTAACTTCTTTCCAAATAGTTTAACATTTTCAAAGTTACATTCTGAAAATATATAAAACAAAATTGTGAAATGATCGCACTGTAAGGTCAAAGTCACTTAGAATTATTGTTATGGCATTGCTAGACATTTGAATGAATTACATAGTGGTTATTATGTAATTACACAATTATATACCTTTGCATTCTGTATAGACAGTTTCAAGTCTGCATTTCTTACTTTTTCTCTTTGCCTCATGATCAAAAAAGTGACAAAAAGGCATAAAGGATGTGTACAAAACAAACTCAACTCATGATGAAGTATTCCCTTGTCTACTTATAAACATAAATGCACTATGAATCGAAAGTTTAAATTCTTCAGAATTCCTCTGCTTGTTTCAATAAGCTGCTAGCGAGATAATGATTTGTATAAAATTACAGATTACACATTTCAGGTTCTGAAAAAATTACACAAAGCAATTGCAAAATGATTGATTTGCACACTAAAAGTTGTCTAACATAAGAACTATATTAAAAAAAAAAAGGATGTGTTTTCCCATGGAATCTGACTGAGGAAAGTGCTTGGTTCATTCCCATTCAGAATAACAGCAAAGTGTGCAGCCGTAGTCAACATTAGCACTCCTGCGCTCGGCACGAATGAGCAGGCAAACCATTAAATCT